GGTACTAGCTATTACTTTATCTTACCGACTGGTAAAACATTTATTGCCATCTAGCGGTAATAATTATTACTTTGTTTTACCGATCGGTATTATTCAACACCAATCTATTGATGATAAAAAGTATTTCATGCGTTAATCAACCATTTACATTTTAGTTAAAGACATTTTCTGTTTAATATTTGATTACAGACGTGTGATCGAATGTTTACTTTATACTATCCGAAAAATTGATATTAATTTTAAATTGAAATATTAATAATCTTATAAAATTTATAAAAGATTTACAAAACTCTATAATATTTAATTGTAATACTTGCACTCTGTCATCTTCGTATTAATTTATTATTTTACAGATGTTACTTTGAAACTACGATTAATTAATTGATAAAAATTACAAACAATTTTATAATAATTTATTTATTTAACAACTACAACATACCTTTTCTGTTAATACATCAAAGGAATATAATTTAAACATATAATTATGTCATTGAAATGCCACATTACAAAAAGATGTTATTAATCAGGAAGATCATTATGGCAATATTATAATAATTAGCATTTGTAATCAATTTTTATAATGAGTTATTTACTGTAATACATAATTAATGTATGAAATTGTATATATATATATATATGTATATATATTTGACTGATTGTTGTTCTTCTTTCAAAGAGATTAGATTATATATTAAGTGAATTTAGCTATAAACTATTTAAAAACCTAATAATAGGTAAGCTTGATACATATATTCTACTATACGACATTCTTCAATAATTCATAATTGGAAGGTTATGAAAGATATAAGAATTTACAATACATTAGTAATAAAGCCTTAAAAGCTGATAACATATATTTGTTGTCATCATTATATTCTATATAAATACTTATTGATTTTTGTTTTGTTATATCACTCAAAAATGGATTATTCAAGAATATTTCTTCTTAAACTCATTTTTGAAGAAGACAGATGCAAAAATAAGTAGAATTGAAATATCTAGGAAGAGCAATGAAATCATTTTTAACCATTAATACATCTTACAGTGTCACAATTTTTGCTCCATAGGAAGCAGTTACCGATACCGCTGTAACATATCAGAAATATTGCAACTAAGAAGACCAAACCGCATGTGTTACAAGGTTTACGCTCCAAGAAGAATCCAATTAGATAAAGTGCCATAAACATAACGTGCGTTTGTAGCAATGCAGGATTTACGGGTTTGGGTATTAATAACACTGGAAGCAACCACTGTAGGCAATACATTCTTCCTGTTGTATATCTTAGCGTTGTACACAGGATGTATCAGTCAAGAGAAATCTCATCTACGCGATAACCTTTCAAAAAGACAACGTAGAAAAATACATTAGTTGAATCATTATAGAAAAGAAAAAAGAAATAGATATCTGTTATAATTAGCTTAATTATTTAATGAACCTCATTCGGAAGCATCATTTGTACGTTGCGAAGAATATTTCTTCTCTCTTGTCTTTATCAATAGTAATCTGGACTTAGGAACGCATTTATGACACTAATAATATTTGTACAAACAATTTTTTACCATTCAAGGTCACGAGTATAATAGCAGTCACCAATTTCGAGACGACCCACGTCAAATCCGATCAATCGTAGAATGACAACCGATTAAATGTACTCTTCTCTTCTACGGTTAACCAATCAGATTTTATATGCGTATGAAGTTAATAGATAACAGCAAATAGTATTATCTTGTTTATTTGTTCAATAATATTAACATTCGTGTAAAATGAAATAATTGGAATGACAATCAATCTAACCTTTAAGATGCGTTATTAAATGTCTGGGATATTGTACACAATAATAGATTATTCGTTACCTCATAAAGACTATATTTGAAAAGAATTGAAATCGCGAAGTTTCTATAGAATAGGGAACAAAATCATCCAATCAAAAATCTTTCTTTACACTTAGTCGCATTCATGTAAATCCGCCTTGTCACTTTTCATCTGTCATCAATCGCATACTCTCAAATTTGTACTTTCCATTGTAGCCGATAACCTATATTGATTTATTTGTTCATTATGTATCTCTGTGATTCCTGTGACCATACAGAAAGTAACTAAAGTTTGACACGCAAACTGACAACATTATAATATCATATACATATAAAGTAAGTATTATTTGCAATACTAACTTCATGTAATATTAATATAATCGGTGATTTTTATTTGACACTTTAATTAGGAAAAAATAAAAATAAAAATAGATATATGAGATTCATAAATAAATAAATAAATAAATAAATAAATAAATATATAAAATGCTTGATTTTTGTGGACATTTCTTTTCGATTTGGTCATATTGAATTAACGTCCCACTCATTCATAGAAATGTGAAAGTGTGTCATTGATTATTCAAGTATGCATCATCAAATAAGGTTATAAATATACACATACGTAATGCACTGTACAAGTTAATATTGAACGTTAACTACAAACAAAAATATATTGTATGTTTACATATGGTGATTAATAAATTTGTTAATGCCACAAAAGTTCCAGCATTCATTTAAGATATACATTTGTGACTTTTTCAGATAATATATTTATAACGAAATTGTATACATTTAATGGATTGTTTTAATGAAGATTTTACCTATAGATAGATTTAAATATGTCAAGAGTTTAATTATAAAGTATTCAAGAACCTAATATAGAGGTTTATGTTTTAAGAAACCAATATGAACTAAGTACCTGCTTTAAAAAAAGTACAAAATTCAGAAGCCTTTACATTTTTGATAATTTTGTAAAAAAAATTGTGTTAAAATGCATTTTGCAATACCAGACACCCAAGAACTTGTTGATGAATCTAATAGTAAATATATTGTAAGTATAAATATCTTTCTTCAATTTGTTTAAAGATAAATTACATTATTACTTAACTTGTACTATGCACTTCTGTTTCAGAGTTACAATGTTCATATTAATGGATTATTGCATTGTACTTTACGGTACAGACAATTTCACAGCTTACACGAACAATTAGTTGAAAAGTTTGGACCTCTTATTCCAGAATTTCCTCCAAAAAAGTTCTTTGCATTAACTGCGACTCAACAGGAAGAACGTCGTATCGGTTTAGAAAAATATTTGCAAATAATAGGACAAATATCCGCAATACGTTGCTCAAAATTATTTAGCAGATTTTTCTTTCATGCACAACAAGAACTTGCAAATGATCCATTGGAGGATGAGTCATTGGAAATGGATATATACAGATGTAAAAAACCAATGAAAGTTTCTCCAAAATTAAATACTGGAGAACTTTTGAAGGTATATTTTTGTGTGTACATTTATCTCAAAAAATATTATTGAGTGTAATTAAATGACTATTTTTCATTGTTTTTGTTCATTCTTATATTAATTTTGTAGAAAATTTATCGTGAGATTTATCTATGGGAAGAATATCATTCTTACTTTTCGTTATTCCTTGTTGCACGAACAATTGAGGAAAATCCTAATAAAAATATTAGTATGTATAATCTAATATTATTATAGTATTATTATTATTATTATTTTAATTGATTTCATTGATGTATCATGTATTAAATTTATTCTTTTTTTTGTTCTCTTCAGTATTGCGGAAATTAGAGGATTTTGAATCTCCTGTTTTAACATATAAAAGATTAGTCGCTTCAGGTATTCGAGTAGTTCTAACAATTAGAAAGAATTATTGGAATTTAGAAAATACTGACAAATTATTCAAAAATTCACCGGCCAGGCATTTATTAGTCTACGAGATGACGAATGATATATATAACAAAAGGGTCTTTCATCCAGAAAAAGTAGGTTGTCAACAGACTTCTTTCTTTTTTTTTTTTTTTTTTTTAGATAATCACAAGTATCTTGTTTATAAAGTATAATGTCAATTTAAAAATGTATACATTAATTATTAAAATGTATTATTTAATAACGATACATTTTTATCAATGTGAAGTATTTGTAATTTTAAAAATGTTTTTTTTCTTTTAGTCACCCAAGAAATTATTAATGCAACATTTTAAATATTACGGTTATTTACGATTTGAACCATGCATCTGCGATTATCCTGTATCAAAATCAAAAGTAACAGTTGGCATTGGTAATAATGAAATCAATTTATGGATATTAGATAATCATAATAATATAGAACTAGGATGTAAAATAACTAGAATACGATGTTGGCGTATAACTACTTTAACAAATGTACCAAGTGTAAGTATGCATTTAAAAAAAAAAAAAACAAAAAAAATGAAGAATATTTACAATTTTTAATGATTGACACAAATATCCAATTTTTAGGCAATTCGATGGACTGATAGTGATCATTTTGATCTCGAACTATCTTTTGAATATTTATTTCCTGATAATAAATTGCAATGGATTACTATTTCTTCCAATCAAGCTATTTTAATGTCTGTTTCTCTACAATCAATGATTGATGAATTAGTGTTAAAAAATACAAATGACAGCAAACAGGTTTGTAGATAATTAATAAATGGTAATAAAATCAAATGTTAAAACTTAAGCAATGAATATATTTACTATTAGGAGTCAGAGAGTAATGACTCATCATGGGTACATGTACAGAAAGATGACAACCATATTGTGATGGAAAATAAATTGGTAGCAAATATTGATGAAGTCAAACAAGAACATGAGGTAAAGACAAGTTGGCTCTGCTTCGTTTAATTATTTCTTTCTCTTATAATACTCTTTGTTATAATTATTATATTTTGTTCTTTTTCAGAAAAATGGAGTTCAATCTAATGTTCAGAAATTAATAGATGCACTAAAGTCATCTGTTCCTCAATGGACGACAACGAAAAAGAATAAAAGAGCTACGGTTTATAGAGAAAGTATAGAAGAATATAGTAATATTATGGCAAATAATCCATTTTATATGATAAATGATGATGTTTTATAGTGTTGTCTATAATGAAATTCCTAATTTTTAATGAAGGTAATTATTAAATGAATACTGCCGTAGCAGCAGATTTAATATCATATTTTAAATGATCAATTTTGCTAATGAAAAATATTTAACAAATTTTATATCGAATGAATCAGTGTGTCGTGTTTTGATACTATTATACAAAAAAAAAAAGGTTTTTATAAATAATTTATATTTATAATTGTGATTTTAAAGAATTTATTATTTTAAGAATGAAATAGGAATATATATGTTAGAATCTGTGAACTATAGAAACAATACGAGAATATTATAAATTTTTGAAAATATTAAATTCAAAGAGATTATTATTGGATTGAAGTTTCAATAAAAAAAAAAAAGAAAACTTCTAAAGAGAACTAGTCAATTAAAAAACTAATATATTCCGTTAAATATTTCTTCTTGATTATGATTTTTTTAGTATTGCAATATTTGAGATTTCAATTTTGTTAAGTTTATTTTTGTTATTTTTTTTACAAAATTATTTTATGCGTTTTGATTTAAAATTGTATTATTTTATGTATTTTTATGATTAAAAAAAAAAAAATTATTTATACGAAGTAAATAATGAATTACTTATATATATAAATGTATAATGTGAAATTTTGAATACTCTGAATAATAAAAAAATAATAAAAAAAATATTAAAAAAAAAAAAAAAACAAATGCATCGTAGAAAAAAAAAAAGGAAAGTCTTGTCTTTTAAAGCTCAGTGGCAAATGCATATTTATTGATGAAAAAGTAAAGACGATTTTGGCAGATACTACAAATATCTGGACTAATTTTTACATAAATGAATTAATATTATTTTTTAGTAATAACGAGATGATCCGCAGATAAATACTAAATTTTAACAAAATGGCGTTCCAATGCTTTTACTGTATATCTGCAATAATACTGATGAAATATTATTTTGTCCATTTTAAAAATACGAATCATATTTATAAAATCAGTTTTGTATATATATATAATGAAAAAATTTATATGATACATAATTTTTAAATTCCAATAAAAAATAAAAAAAAATAAAAACAACGAATATATCTTAAATGTGTTTCACACTGAATAATACAAAGAATAGAGGAGATTTCAATGAAGCCACAAAATGTCGATGAAATTAAACAATTTGTGTATATTATTTTATCAACGTTATATAAAAGAAGCAGATAATGAAGAAAAAATCATTCATACAATAGATCTCATTTATATTAAAAAAAAAAAAAAAAAATGAATAGAAGATAAACGGAATATTTTACAAAATTAATAAAAGTCACTTTGTAATAGAACAAATTCTTTCTACGAATAATTTTTTGTGATTTTTCTTAGTGGCCCCCCCCCCTCCAAAAAAAAACAAGAATAGAAAAAAATATTTAAAAAATAAACCAATTTTATAGATCTAGTTAAGAATAATTGAAATTCAGATCTTGTATTACTGACATCGTGCATATTTTTCTATATCAAAAATATGTTATTATTCTGTATTCTCATTCCTCAAACGGATAAAAAGTAAGTTCAGTTCTGGCTACAGGATCTAAGGTGTCATCATCCGAGAGATCTACCTTTATTATTTATTATATATGTATGAAATAGCCCAACGTCAGCAAAGAATTTCTCTGTGTGTTGTAATTGTTATTCTCTACAATTTTAGGCAACAAGTCAAGTACGAATCACCATTATGACGACAACTTGCCACAACATATGGGAATTCTATATAAATATTGTTTTGTTGAATTAATCGATGATTATTAATATCATGACATCATAATCATTACTAGTAAATTATTTTGTTTACATTCACATTTGACGGTTATTATAGCTAATCGTATGAAACAAACTTATATAAGGAAATATTAAACGAATTTATTGAATAATCTAAAGAGTTGTGTGAAGAGACCTTTTTTTAACGTCTTCTCAAAAGCTTCGAAAAAAAAACCTTCAAATATGAAAATAGGAGAAAAGATTACACAGCACTGAAGAAATAGAAGAAATTGCTTCTCACTAATTTTACCAAATGAAATTATTTCGGGATTTGTAGATAAATACTGAAAAACTCGATTGTCTGCTGTTGAACAACTTTCTCAGATTGTAAAGGATTTGGAGCCAACAGATGATGTATCTGCACAAATCATTGTATGAACATTGACAAAAAAAAATCTGGCCCAAAAGACATGAACTTCCAAATTCTCAAAAACATTAATTGGAAATTATAAAAATGTTGACAGATAATCAACCATTCTCATGCACTGTTTCTGGATATTGCATAACAGATATTACAGAAAAACTGGGATGTGCAAAAAATAGTGCACTTGCATCCGAGACACTTTTATCAATAGCAAGTGCTACTAGTTTTTGAATATGTGGTTAATGAAATATTTACATTTGCATTTAGTCAAAAGAATCCTAAAGTTCAGCAAGAAACATTGCTTTGGTTGAGTAGGGGTCTTATAGAATTTGGATGAATTAATCTTTAATAGTAGATAATATAAAGAAAGCAGTAGGAGCAACTAATCCTGGTGTATGTACTACTGCTATAACACTAATTGGTACTTTAGGGCCGAGACGAGGTGCAGAATTTGAATTAACCCCTTACGAAATTTTAATGGATAATATTCGGGAACGAAGGTATCGTCTGAATCCGACACCTCATCCAAAGAAAGACGTTCACATTATTATTCTTGAATTTATTCGAAGTCGACTAACTTTGAAAAAAGCATCAGAGAGACAATTACCTCCTTTATGAAAAAAATGCACTTTACGAAAATTGCTGATAGAGAATATAAAGAACCCTCCGAAACCTTTACGATCATCACGTGATAGACGACAAGGTCCTACGATTGAAGAAAGAGCACGATCGAATGAACAGACATCCGACATTAACAACATGAAAGAAAATGGGTCGCCGACCGTACCGAAACCTGCTCGTAGAGATTCCGATAGTTTAAATACCAGACGGACTAGAAAAATAATACCCGTTGATTTCGATTTGAAGCTTCATGCGGAAGATGAAAATGATGAGGATTATAATGATGAATTAAATGTAACAAGATTCGATGAAGAAGACGAGGCCTATGATTATCCATTTGAAAATCGTGCTATTACAAATGATAATAAAGATCATGATCATGAAATAGATGACGAAGATGTGGATTCAGCGAATCCTTGGAAAAAAAATCCTTGAAAATTCTATATAAATATCGTTTTGTTGAATTAATCGATGATTATTAATATCATGACATCATAATCATTACTAGTAGTCGTAAAACTTCGCAATTTCGATAATTTCAACACCCTAATATTGCGAAGTAGAGAAATATAAGACTATTCTCTAATAGGGAAGACTAATCCTAGTAAGTTCTTTCTCGAAATATTTTCTTGCAATGTATCCTCTCACCCACCATAATGTGTTACGTGAAATTACGTAAAAACTATCATGTATGAGAATGCATAAATTTATATATTTTAAATATATGGTGTTTCGTGCTTAAGAAAGAATATCTCTCTCAGGTGAGATTAAATTGATGTAAGCTAATATTGACATCACGCGTTATTGAAATTATATACTATATATGGCAGTAGAATTAGCAATAAAGTATAATTCGCGTTTGAAATTAAATGAAAATACTTAAATGCCTAAAACGAAATTTCTATATATATATATATATGTATGTATGTATTATGTGAATGATGTTCAGGGCTTGTAGTGGTATTTCTTTCTAAAACTTCAGGTCACTGGTCATATTATCGCGTTGAATACGACGTTCAATTTTTCACTGCACCTTACATAACGGTAAGGTTTATTAGTGCAAGTAACAAGTAGGGGGGAGGAAGTAGCTTTAGAAAGCCAATATTTAAGCTCTAATAATGATTTCATTAAAAATAATTCTTGTTAAAATAAATGGCATTAAATGTGACTAGTAGACGCAAGATTGTATCGTCAAATGTCATTTCCAAACAAGCCAACAATTGTAAACTTTATGCTTTCCCGTTTCACATGCATTGCACACCTTCTTGCATTTCCTAATCAACCCTAAAAAGGGATATATGTATATATATACTTTCTTTATAAGAATAGTATATTTAACAGTAAATATATGTGTAAATTTAATAGAAAATAAAGAGAGAGAAAAAAAAACACGAAAAGAAATATGAAGGAAGAGTTAAGTAGTGTTACTGTTTCTTCACCTAAGTCATGATGTAAAATAATTTACATTGGTGACGTGAGGCTATTGGCTAGTATTACCTATGTACCCTAGTTTCCCAAAGATAAGAAACATTTATTTAAAGAGGGGAAGTTATTTTTAAATGATTATATCTCTTACCAGATAAATGTACATAAAATAAATGTCCTTTTCTTTGACGAAACTAGGGATGAAGTGGATAAAATCTATTTGTTTATACAACTGTACACTCTTTATCTATCATCACACTCATTTGTTTAAAAAAAGAAATCAAACTGTTAGAAGTTCTGTTGTCTCTTTCGTTTAGTATCCATGGCATCTAAAATTGGTTGCCTCTTCGTTTGATATCTTCTTCTTAATTCATCAATTTCGCGTTCCATTTCTGCGTCCAGATTAGCCATTCGTTGTTGTAGTTCTTCGTAAGATAGAAACTTTAACTGCAAAAATTGTTGTAGTGTTTGATTAATGTTTTCAACTTAATAGGCGAAAAAACTAAGATGATATTTTATCGAAATAAGATCTACTACTTATTTAACCCTTTCAATAAGGCGAACAATCAGTCCGAGTGCGAAAGGGTTAAATCGTAAAAAAAGCAGATTATTAAATGTAAGTATTATAACAAATTTGTTTAATTTATATTAAATTATTGTATCCTGTTATTTGCTAATACTTACAAAGTCAAAATCACGTTCCGTAAAAACATTTTGAAACTTGGCTACATTATTGACCGGTTGTTCTTGTACCGGATGTGATATTTGATTGAGTTGTAATTGTAAATGGCTTTGAAACCTTTGAGATTCTGTAGCACCTTGAACATCGATTTTATTAGCCATCTCTACATTATGCGCTCCTGATATTTGTCCATTACCCTAGATATTTATAAAGAAATATTTTGGTTCTATATTAATACCTTCAAAGCTATTTTTTTTTTTCTTTACACTTACTTTTCCTATTTCGGGTGCTTCCTTTTTGTCAAAATGATCAAGGAACAAAGGTCGATATTTTTTTCCAGATTCAACTGATCCAGTATTATGCCCTATAAATATGTATACATATGTAACAATAGTAATTTTTTCTTCCCTCCGAGCGAAAAGCGTCAACTTTTCTCCCGCTGTTCAAAACGAAGTTGCCGCTTTCCGCCTACGTCGAGCAGAAAAAATGTATACTCACCTAGGGAGGTAAAGTAAGAAATGTCTCAGAGCACATGTAATTGTTGTCCAAGGCGAAGCTGAGGTGCATCTGCTCTGCGATCATGTGCTCTGAGACATTTCTTACTTTACCTCCCTAGGTGAGTAATATACTATTGTTTACATATACATTAACCTACGGATGTAAATAACTAACTTTTCATAGTGGCTTCAGTATCAGTATCACTGTTAATGACCATTGTACCAAGATCTAATACTGCAGATACAAGCGTTCCAGTGTCTGGCAAATCATGACTGGGTACAAGTGTTCCTGTATCTTCTGGCAAAGGTTTCATGGTACCACTACAATCTTCTTCATCCTTTATATTTACAAATAAAATCACATGATCAATATATTTAACATTTGACAAAATAATATATATATTTATACAAATCAAATTAAATTTAATTTGATGACATTACCGAATCATCTGCTTGATTTTGATTTTTAATCGCAACGTTATTGATAACATGTGCACGATGTGCACTTTGCTTCTCTCGTATTTCATGAGCTTCAGCGATCATATGACTAAGAATACTTGGTTGCTTTGCATTACCTGTAATGATATGCAGTTGTATTAATTTAAAAGAAAAAAAAAAGAAAAAAGAAATTTCAACAGTTATTTAATATCGAATTTTTGCAATACATGCAAAAATATATGCAATATGTTTACCAATAAATTCATGATTGAGTAATTCAGAAGCCGTAGCTCTTTCTTCTGGATTTTTAACAAGGCACCCGCTGACAAAGTCAATAAATTCTGGACTCCATTGATCCGGTTCTCTAAAGCTAGGTGGAGGTTTAGTTGGAATCATAAATATTGCTCTCATTGGATGAATATCACCATATGGAGGTTTTCCTTCTGCCATTTCTAAAGCCGTTATACCAAGTGACCATATATCTGCAACGCAGTCATATCCTATTTCTTGTATAACTTCAGGTGCCATCCAAAATGGTGTTCCAATCACTGTATTACGTTTAGCCATTGTATCCTATATGACAAGACAATTAATCATAATTAAATTTATTAAATTCACATTGTAGAAATGAATATGAATCAAAGTATTAAATCTTACAGTCAATTGACCCGCAACACCAAAATCGGCTAATTTTGCGTGTCCTTCATTATTTAGTAAAATATTTCCAGCCTTAATGTCCCTGTGTATTTTTCTTCTTAAATGCAAGTATTCTAATCCTTTCAAGGTATCACTAAGAATCGTAGCGATTTCATCCTCTTGTAAAGTTTTTTTCCTTAATCTCATAATGTCACTAACAGATCCAGCTCCACAGTATTCCATTACAATCTGACAGTAATCACAAAAGTTTCAATAATAAAATACATATTGATTGATCTTATAAAACTTGATAGAAGAAATGATTTAACTTGTTCTTACCCATAAGTCCGTATTTTTAAAATAACTTCCATAATATTTAACAACATATGGAGAATCACATTGTTGCATTATTGAAATTTCTTTTATGATTTCCTGTAAATCCGTATCCACAGGTACTTGTTTAATGGCAAGCACTTGCCCGCTCTCCTTATGCAGCGCTTTATAAACTGATCCATAAGATCTGCATTATAAGAAATCATAGAAAAACAAATATATTAATAATAAACAAATGATATGCTTTATCTACCTTTAACAGATTTCCTTTAGACTATAATTGTTTGCCAATCAATAAAGGTATAATTTGTTAATTGAGTCACATAACTATTTTTATAAGAAATAGCTATTATAAGAAATACATTTAAATGCAAGCTACACAACAAAATTGTCTAAACTCACCCTTCTCCTAGTTTGCATATAATATCAAAAACTTCTTCAGGTTGTCTCGTTAAGCTTTCTTCTGATAACTTTTTTAATTCACTGCAAAGCATCAAATAAAGTAAGGAATTTCGCATTACTTTATGGTAAACTATGTATATTTAAATATATATATATATATATATATATATATATATATATATATATATATATATTTTTTTTTTTTTTTTATAAAAACGATGCTATATATTAATAATACTATTTGTGTCAACATAATATTTTAGCTATATGATTGTAAAGAAATATATTAAAGATGACAAAAAATTGAACGTAACGTTATTTCGTGGGTATTCTAAAATATATAGTCAAGGAAAATAAGATTTTCAAGAAGAAATTACTACCAACAGGTTAACAAAGGAAGAAAATATCTCATTAAATAAAAAGCATCGATTTATAATTAATCTTAAAAAATCATATTAATTCAAATGTAAAGGATCATCATTATTTTCTTATTTATTAAGATTTCAAAATGCCAAAGTAGAACTAATCGTAAACGCATAAACAATTGAATACCTCTTAGAAGACATCTTCGTTTTTATATCACCGAGTTCTTACTCGATAAAAGCACGTCCAGTGGATAAAAATAATGAAATGCGATTAAATAAGATATCATTCCGTTTGTAAAAATATAATTAATTCATACGAAGAATATTACATTTTTTTTCAATAAATTAAAATAATTACAACCGAAATATCGAAGAGGCTTCGAACATCGGCCATTGTAGATGGCGGAGTTACAAATACGCATCGAAAGATGCATTTGAATCATTAGCGCTATTTCGTGCATCTACACAGGAGCGACTTTTTTCGAGTACTCCATTGATTCGTAAAAATAATTCAATCAGCTTGACGAAAGTCAAATGAATGATAAACGATGAGATAAAACGTACAACATTATTTTCCGTTTTACAATAATGTTTTCATTCAAATGCAGTTTGTAAAGGAAAATTGAATGGGTACGAGCGATAAGCCAATCGGATGATAGTTGAATGAAAAGAAAGAAAGGTAATTGGCTAAGGGTAAGAAGCACTAGCCAATGAGAAAACTTTGAACTCTTATGTTTTGTTACGAGCGTGTTTTTCATTGGTCGGTTGGAAATTTTTTGTAAAGTTAGGGGGGGTAGTTTTGTTGGTAGACAGACGTTCTACGGTAACTTTGATCTTGGTCCCAAGAGCAGTAGGTAGCGTAGATACTGCCGAAGGCAGTAGGTTGCTAGAAAGGAGCAACAGGCTAGCACATTGGTTCGGTTCGGTTCGGCTCGGCGCTTCGGCGACGTGCGTTGCGTAGCGACTTGCCCGAATGGTTAGCATCGTCGATCCAGTGCCTAGTGTTTCCGTAACCGTGACGGTGAGTCGTGGGGTGTGTTCGTGCCTTTTTTTTCATTCTTTACCGTCGTCAAACACTTCTTACAAGAGGGTTCCAAGGGGGTGCGTAAATATATAAGAATTGTGTGTCGTATGCTTTCGCATACGCAGGTGTATTACAAGGGAGACGAGTGTGAGACGGCGAAGGATAAGATATATCGTTGAGGGAGGAGTTAGAGAGAAGAGGACCGCGAGAAAAACGGAGCAACAGAATCAGCAAAGGAGTGAGAGAAAGAGAGTGTGTGTGCGGGGAGAGAGAGAGGTAAAGAGGAAAGATAAAGGAGAGGCAGAGTGTGCGCGAGCGCGCGGAAAAGAAGACGGGGGCGGTGGCGGAGAAAAGAGGAAAAGGTGGTGGTGGTGGCGGCGGCAGTGATAGTGGAGGTGGTGGATGAGAAGAAGGAGGTGGAAAGAGCATTGTAAGATAGAAGTCGGAGGTGGAGGAGGACACGGGCGCCGCGACGCGACGCGACGCGACGCATCGCAACGCAACGCAACGAAACGAAACGAAAAGAAACGCAACGCAACGCAACGCAACGCAACGCAACGCAACGCAACGCAACGCAACGCAACGTAACGCAAAGCAAAGAAAAGAAAAGCAAAGCAAAATAACTTGAGAATAAAAAGGTAAAGACGAACGAATACGAATAAAGAAAAGCACTGGAGGAGAAAGAGGAGAGTAAGAAAAAGAAAAAGAAGAAGAAATAATAGTAATAGTAAAAGTAGTTAAAAGTTAGTAGTAGTAGTAGTAGTAGTAGTAATAGTAGTAGAAGTAGACGAAGAAGAAGAAGAAGAACAGCAACAGGGGACGATCGAGAAGACGGCGGAGCGCGTGATCCAAAATGGCGCTCAATCAGGAGATCGATCAGTTGTCGAACAATAGTAATCTCGTAGTGAGGATCGATCAAAATTCAGAATCCGATCTACAGGCTTTGTTCGATACGGTCTTGAAGCCGGACTCAAAACATCCGCTTCAAGTGCCATTGCGTATGCGAAATTTACCCGATTCGTTTTTTAATCCACCTTCGACCGGCAGCAGAAGCCCGTCGATTTCGCACTCGCGCGAAAATTCGGCCGACTCGGCATTCGGAGCCGGCGGCAGCGGCGGCGCTTCCGGCGCGGTCACGGGGACCACCGGAGGACGTAACGCGGAATCATCCGGTGGTGGAGGCGGCAACGTCGTAGCCGGAGGTGCTAACGTTTCCGTCGTGGGTGGTGGCGCCGGCGGGGGGGCCGGGGCCGGTGGGGCCGGTGCTAGCGTTGGTGTAGCAAATGGAAATGGAGGTGGTCCGGCCGGTGGAGGAAGCCCCGGTGGAGGAGCCGGAGGAGTCGTCGCGGTCGCGGCCGCAGCGGTCAGCGCAAATGTTAACGGAGGAAACACCGGAGGTGCCGGTGGAACAGCGAACGGTGGCCCGCCGAATGGTGGTGGTGCGGGTGGCGTCTCGGCGGGTTCGGCCGCGAGTGCCAACGCCGTTAACGGTCCTGCACCAGCGGCTGCAGCAGCGGCCGCGGCAGCCGCTGCAGCCGCAGCTGCAGCTGCTGGCTTGACGGTAGCTCATCCGCGAGCTCACAGCAGCCCTGCATCCCTGCAACAAACCTATACGTCCGCGCAACAGGCGCAGCAACACGCGCCGCAGCCGCACGCTCGTCACCATCATCACCAGAAGCAACGCAGTTACGACGTCATCAGCACGGTCGACGACCTGGGACCCCTGCCACACGGATGGGAACAGGCGCGCACTACCGAGGGACAGATCTATTTCCTCAAGTGAGTACCTCATCTTTCTCTTCTCTTCTTTACTGTTTCTCTTCTCTTCTTTACTCTTTCTCTTCTCTTCTTTACTGTTTCTCTTCTCTTCTTTACTCTTTCTCTTCTCTTCTTTACTCTTTCTCTTCTCTTCTTTACTTTTTCTCTTTCTCTTCTCTTCTTTACTCTTTCTCTTTCTCTTTCTGTTTCTCTTTCTCTTTCTCTTTCTGTTTCTCTTTCTGTTTCTCTTTCTTTCTCCTTCTTGCACGCGCCTGCCTGCCTGCCTTCGCAGACTTTGATTCTTCCACCTGTTGGCTATCGATAAATCCTCGCTATTTTGCCTTCGTTCGATCAGTTACGTCAATGTGCTTTGGTACCGTTATACGACAACGTTTCTTATCGCTACTTTCTTCTTTTATTATGTTTTATTTTGGAATTTTTGTATTCGTATTTCCACGCGTTGACGCAAACATAAGAAACTTTCTTTCTCGATTTTTAAATAAGCATTTTATATGCACTATGCGTCAATTAAACTTTGAGAAAATGGAAAAGAAGCGGCGTCTCTGAAATGAAATTTGTGAATATAAAGTTTTAAGATGTTGTTTGCACCGTAGGCGCATTTTATCGAACGACGTTACTAAAGTCGAGGAAAAATGTGACGTGCAAAGCCGGTGGTACGATTCGTCGCGCAGAAACACGGACGCGAATGCGGTCCGGAGGCTTGAGCAACGACGAAGTCGTAGCAGTTTTGTTGTTCGAGCCGGTCTCTTGGTATTCGCCTTTGCGTGCCTTCGGCTGAGGTCCAGTTTCTTCTACGTCGTTCGATTCGTGCGATCCCTTTCTCTCCTTCTATCTCCAACGATCGTAACTTTGAACCACCTCATCAAAATTTCCCCTTTAGTTTCGTTCTTCCATTTGCAAATCTCGAAAGTTTGTCGATATCTTTACTTTGTTTATTCTCTTGCTGTCCCAACTTCTCTTCTTTGTCTTTGCTTTATCTGATTCTTGTGTCTATTTTTTAATATACTCGTTTATTATCGTATCGGCTAAAACGAATCTTGAAATACACCGTATATGCGATAAGACTTTAACGGCGAGCTACGAAATAGGCCGGTGATTATACCTCGATAGGAGAGAAATTACGTGACTTACTTTTTATGATTGCAAATTGCACTACTAGTCACATTCAAAGAAACGATATATGATGGTGGTGGTGGTGGTGGTGGTGGTGTCTGGGAAATGTACAGAAATCGGGCGCGCGAACAAATTCACCGATTTCTTATTTAACGATTTGAAATTGGCGGCGAAGTTCTAGGCGAATCTCGTGCGCTTACATTAGACCGTTATGTTATTACGGCTAACGAAGATGGAACTTTAATGGGGGCTGATTTTATCTAGCGGAGATCGCATCCAAGCGATTATGCCAAAGTCCGAAGGAACTTTCGACTTACGTCGTTACCGTTAGACGCTGACCGAAGCGGCGATCGAGTATCGCTCCAAGAGAATCGTCGTCGAAATCACGTTTCTCGTAATTCGAACGTTCATTATTTCCATTTTTATTGGCTTTCGGGAAAAAAGAAATATGACGAATTATCGCTAGAAGAGTTTTTAAGCGCCTCAACGCATACGGTATTATCGTTACGTGGCGCTAATTGGATAAGTTCTTTTACGATTGATCGCTTCTATGTAATTACACATTTTCTTAGTAATCTTACGATGATTCGATTTCGCTTTATCGGTTGGCAATAAAATTCTAAGCATTTTGTTCTTCTATACTCCGTACGACAAGACTCAATGACCCGTTGGAAAGTTAACCGTTGGATTTCTGTTATTTCCAAAGATTTCCAAAGAGACTCCAAATCTAATTTGTAAACGACAATTAGTCATTAGTTCCTTATTAATAATTCTAACGACATTTTTATTTCCTTTTCAAAATCGCTCATTAAATAATAATTAGCTTATATGTTGTCATGAGTATTGAAAAAGATCAGAGAGGAGGAAAATACACAGAGTTGCGCTTTGGATCTTGTAACGAAGAACTATAAAGGCATCCGGGACGAAGGACGATTTGAGCGTTTCCGCACAGCGACTATTGCGGCGAATATTGCGGCGAATATTGCGGCGGCCTCGAACACCGACGCGAGAAAGTAACGTTACGCTCTATACGCCTTTCTTACGCGCGACGACCAACGCGTATGCGAGTCTCCAATACCAATACCAATACCAATACCAATACTAATACTAATACCAATACCAATACCAGTCTCCCTGTGCACAGTGACACGTGTTAGATACTAATATCGACTCTATGAGATCCAACAAGACTCTCGATTCTATTGTTCTCGACGATGCGCGTGAGTTGCTTTCCTCTAACTCACTGTGCCAACCTTTTCTTCCTTATTATAAACGTTTTATTATTAATATACCGCCTTTTTTATTGCTTCAAAACGATCAATCCGTTCTTTACTCTTTTCGATTACCAACGTAATAAACAAATAGAAAATTCTTCTACTACAAAAATTCAATCCAATGTTGAGAAGACTCCGGATGTGCTATCGGTGTCATCGATGCACCGATAGAAGTGAAAGGCGACATTTGAAAATGTTAAAAGGTAACTGATATTTATGATTCTCTTTTTCTCCGCGATCCACAACGCGTGCTCTTCACGTTCCGAATCTTTTCTTCTCTTCCGAATTGTGTTATTCGAAGGCTCGATCAAGTAGGTATTACATCAAATGTTTTATAACAAGGAACCGCCTTTCATAACTATGCAAAATGGCTGTGTTTGGGTCTATGATTAATTTATGAGTGTTCGAAACTCAAAAATCGAAACTTTTATTTCTTTTGAAAAGATAATAATAAATAAAGAAAGAAAGGGATAAGAGCTAGCACGTTTGTTGATGACATCGTCAACGTCATCGTTGTCGTCTCATGATAATAGCAGGATGGCGGCTTAGCTCACCTTACGCTTCGAGTTATCAGTTTGATAAGCTTAAAACTTCTTGGAAAACTTGCGATGCAGCTGTAGAGAGAGAAAGAGAGTCAGTCGTATTATTTCTTTCTTTTTTATTCTTCGACCGCCCTGTTCGTTGGTTTTTTCATTGTAACGTTAGCCGTCGTATAAATAAAACTGGTCCGTTCGGTCATCTCTGTTCCTTCCTTCCTTCCTTCCTTTGAAGTAAACTTATTGTCCTATTCACGCGCGTCTATAAGTTATTCTACCCTTTAGTTGAGACTACCTGTTCTACGAACACACAGGTTGTTCGTACCTCTTTCTAATGCGTTTCAACCTGTCTAAAAAGTTTCCTCGAACCTTCTCAGAATCCGGGACGTAGAAGTAAAAAGCATAGTCGGTGGCTACTCTCGCCTTGGGAATGCCATTCGTTGAGCCTCGAGCCAAACAAACCCGCTCGCATGACTATATACCACTGAGAGATCAACCTATCGTATCGTATCGTATCGAACGGTGTGAATGGACCTTTAACAGCCGTCTATCGTGAATACGACTCTCCAAACGACGACACACACGGTTGCCTCGCTCACACTACTTATATATTCTTCCTATATATGTGTATGCTGGCATATACATATATGTTTCTCTCCTCGGCTTCCCTCTTTGGCCTCCCTCGACCCTCCTCCTCCTACTTAGCTTCCCTCTGTACCTCTCGAGCGCTTCTCTTTCGTTCTTCGAACCTGATCCACCTGCGTCGCCGTGACTGAGATTCCCACGTGTCACCTGTCGTGGGAAGTTCCCTTCGAGACTGCGTCCTCCTCCTACTCTTACTTACTCCTACTCCTCCTTCTCCTTCGCCTTTACCTTTGCTTCTCTTGCCTGGTGTCTTCGCTTCATCTTCGTTTTCTTTCACTATCGCTCTTCTTCTTCTTCTTCTTCTTCTTTACACGCTGATATAAGAGATTAGCCTTCTCTTTCGAATTTTGGTGTCGTCTTCCTCGTTTCGACGTAATTCTAAGCTTGGGAATCGAACCATCCACTTAAGTTACTTTTTTTTTTTTATACATATCATCGATAAAAAAAATATCTGTAAAAATGTAATACGCTCCGAAATTTCACGTTTAATTATTCCTAAATGTTATTATATTGATTTTTTGGAATTCATTTCTATTAACCCTTTGATATGTAATAATGTTTCGGAGACGTCATTCATTTCATGTGCCATTGTAGACTTTGACGTCTTTGTGACGTCAACAATCGACTCCGGCGGACGCCGTGCAGCATATTATTCGATTAGTTAATTATTTCACTCGTTTAATTATTGTTCATTAATATTATATATATATATACATATATATCAATCTGATTAAATTTTATATAGGAATGCAAATTTCGAAATGTTTCGAAAATTGTGCTGAATAATTGTGTTCCTCGTTTAATGTTTCAAATCAATTTATTTTAACATGTCTCCTTTTTTTATTTATTATTTTTTTTTTTTATACTTACTATTAACAATAGTCAATAGGAACCAATGTGATTTAGTTCGGATCATTTTTATCTTCTTTCTAGCATTATATTTTTTTACACTTTCTTTCCATTTTTTAAGCCGATTTATTTCAGATTATCCACGTAACTACGTAGGTGTCCTTTTCTTTTTCAAAAGCTTTTCGGTGTCCTTGCTATCGAACGTTTCCAATACCTTTTTGTTCATTTCTTAGAAAGAAGAGATGGTCAGGTTCTTTTTTTTTTTTTCCTTTTCTATTCACTTTTACCTCGTCTCATCTACCTGTCCCTTAAGCCCCCCTCTCCTTCTCCTCTATTCCTAACTTTCAAGCGAATTTTCCCGGGAAGCCTTACGAAGAGTCTAGCTTCGACCGTTTCTTATTGACCAATACATAGAAAACGTTGTGCTCGAGTCACAAACGTGCTCGTTTTCTCGACTATACAAATCTAACATTGATTTGAAGCTGTTTTTTTTTTTTTTTTTTTTTTTTAAGGAGAAGAAGAACAAACAAATTTCTTTTTTTTATAATTAAAAAGTAGCAATATAAATTATAGACGAATTTCG